CAGGAAGATCAAAAGGGATATTTGGGTCTACTTAATGAAGTAGATATGACTTACAGTAAATAGAAGAAAAAAAAAGAAAAACTTGATTAGCACAATAAGGAAACAATAAAACAAAGCCAATTGATATGGTAGGTGACAAAGGAACTTTGAGGACATCTACCAACATCTTTGTGGAAGTGCTAGTCATTCATTTAACAGTTTTATTACAATATGCTACAGAAATTTCTTACACTTTACAAAACAATAAATTTTTAAAATATAGAGAAGAAAAAGGATATTAAATTATCTTGAATTAATTTTGAACCATATAGACACAGAACAACAATTATTAAATTGAATGAGTGCTGAGGGAAATGAACACAGGCAGAGTCAAAAGCAAAAAAATATATATATATATTTATGGTTATTCATCATTTCTTCAAGAGATGGACTCTAACTGGCAAATACTTTCCAGGATGCTTCGGAAACAAAGATCAATTAGGCTCAGAGCTTGCCTTAAAAGAGCTTATACTCTCTCTCTAAGAGAGAGTGCCAAGAAGATAAAAACTGAAATACATTTGCTATGTTTTATGACAGACATATTCTTGTGACCAAGATGGGCTTGCCATTCCTCTCAGTTTGACTCAGTTTTAGACTTCTAGACTGTAGGACTCTGACCTCCCTCTTGTGAGAGCATTTACTTTAGAAAACCTGTAACAGCAAATTCTTTCTCTGCCCATCTGGAATATAGGTAAATCTTCTCCCAGCCTCTAACTAGCTTTACAGTCTCACAAAATAAAATTTTAATTTTAAAATTAAAAAAAAGATTTAAATGAAGGAAGAAGGGATGGAAGGAAAGAAGAAAGGTAGGCCAGCAGGCAGGCCTATCTCTTAGTCTCTGTGGGAAGGAAGGAGCCCAGCTTTAGTACGTACCAATTAACAGGTGGCTTAATCACACTAGCCAACGCCCCCATAATGTCCTCCAGCCCTTTTTCACTAGCTCACAGCAGCATTTAACTCCCCTCCTGCCTTTTGCTTCAACAGAGTTCTATCATCTGTCTCCTCTATTACAATAGTCTTCAATAAAGCCGTCATTGCCATTTTTAACAAATGTCTGGTGCAATCTCTTTGATACGTCAATCCATGGCAACACTAAAGACTCAAACTGTAGAAAATTAGGTGGAATTTTTTTTTTAAAGTCCTGGTGCCTGGGCTGGATCTAAGTAATGAGAATTAAATACACTGGGTGAAAAGGGGCCAGAAGTATTCCAAGCAAAGTTTGAAGAACAGGACATAGGCAAAAGTGTATGGAGCACAGGTCATGACCCCTTACATCAATTCCTTATTTGAAAGCTTCCTGACAAGGCAATAGATATAATTGAAATTAAAATAAATTTGAATTCTTTCTATGAAAGTCAATAAAATATATTATTACATCAGATTTTTTAAAAGCAACTTAAAAATTACTCTTCTACCTCAACTTGTCTCTTTCTAGTTTGTTTTTGTTAAAGTACAAATCAAATTCTATTGAGAATTTTTTTTACTATTAATATACTTTTTAATCAAATCCTTTGAATCAAGAGTTACAAAGAACCCTGGCTGAAGGACAGGTTTGAATCACAGTTGTAGCAAACACTCTTCAGTTCAAGGTGATTACTTAAAGTTACACATTGATGGCAGTACATTCACAGGGAAGCAGCTAACAAAAGCTCAATTTTCCTCTTTGTTCCTTTTAGGACAGTCCCCATGAGAGCAGCTGTTCCCTTATTAATACTGTTAAATGTTAGCAATAAACCTCTCTGGAATTATACTGAATAAGAAGGTGACGTAGAAGAAAGTTTGTACCAAATAAATTTGCGTAGATTAGAGTCTGCAGGTGGTCTGAAACATGCCTGTATTGAGAGCCAAATTGTTCAATACTGGAACCTTTTGAAAGCAGAACAAAGAGCCTTTCATTGCTCAAATTCTAAATGCAGCTTAGTACTTCATTAGAAACCTCTTAGTTCGCTGTAGGAATCTTTCAGATTTAATTATGAGGTGGGGTAAAAACCTTCTTCTCCTAGGATACCATATTGAAACATTTTATTCTGTGTTTCCTGGGACATCTCCAAGTTTTACAAACTACAGAAGTTATCTGTGCTTATTTATTTTTTTCTGGAACCTAAGTATTAGGCGAAGTCAAGGTAACCATCTCAGCCAATATGAACTCTGAAATTAAAATTACTGAAAGCTAAAAGCATTGAAGTTAAAAATTAAGAAACCTGGCTTTCCTTTCTGGTTCTACAACCTTGGGATGTTATTTAAATTTCTGAGCCTTAGTCTAATCTTATGTAAAGGAAGGCTGCTAAACTGTTAAGGATCGATTCCCCCTTCATTTCTAAAATTCCATTACTCTATGTGACCAATATTTAGAAAATACTAATGCTGCTCCATATTTATCATTTTCTTGGCTGTAAAGAAATACTTTAAAGATAAGATTTCCAAAGCTACAGTATCAAATCATTGTGAATGGGATATTTTTCAATTTTAATATAATGTGGTCAGTTAACTTTTGGAAGGTATTAGCGAACAATCCAAAAAACTCTCATTCCTCCTTTAGTGAACTTGATAAAAATGAGAAGGTATGACAACTCAACACTATAGAACAGAAAGAAATGGAATATGTGGCTATAAAATTTGCTGCTAAAGGTTAGGTTGACAAGCTGAGCCTGTTAAATCTCCCGGCCTGGGTCCTTCAATTCCCAATGCCTGAATCTGCATGTCTATATTTTCCATGTGTGTGAGTTCAAACAGCAGTAAGTCAGGGCCCTGGGAACAAAGCTTTTCCAGAGGCTAAGCCGACAATACCTTCATTCAGTGGAAAAACTGTCTCATTCTTAGTAAGACAGTAAACTACCTGGCTCTTTGAAATGAAAACAAATAGAAAGAGAAAACTAATACTTGTTTATTAAATGAAAAAAATGAATAAATAACTCATGAATTCCAAGTCTTGGCTTCTGGCTCTGAATCCCAAGATCAATACAGACTTTCTAATGGAAGCCTTTTGACTTGAATCAGATAAATAAAATATAATTACTTTGACAGTAGAATATTGAAGAAAAACAACATTTATTTCCCCTATTCTGTAAAAAAATTAACAGATTGGCTAGATCTGACCTGAAGCTCAATTTGCAAAAATCTACCTCATCAGTTCATAATTGATAATGACTTCTTTATGTTTGCTTCTGTGTGCCTACAACGGGGTACTTATATCAGGGCAAAATGGATCAGTACAAGGTTAATCTCCTTACAAGATAGTTGGAATGAACCAAGTTGTACATTTTCCTGACTGTTATAAAAATAGGCAAAAAATGATCAGAATGTCTTTCATTGGTCGTATTTTTGGTAAGGGCTTTGGGAATATTAAGATTGTACTTTATCTGTAAAGGTAGACAGAAATCACATACTATGTTCTTAGGAACACAGGAATAGTATTTGTGCAATGTCATTGGACGGGTCATGGATTTTTACTAATTATGCTATTAGTCACTATTTGTTTTGTGACAGAATAAACAGGAGAGTAGATTTAGAGGCTTAAAGAAAAATGATTTTATAGTCGGTTAAGCTAAATAGGTTAGATTGGCCACATGATGCACTCCAGCCAATTACCAGATGTGATAGGTTCTCACTGTCACTGTTGCTACCGCCCTGGTCCAAAGTCACAGTCATCTCTCACTTGGATAATTTCAAGTCTCCTGACTGCTCCCCCTATGCCTACTCTTGCTCCCTTCCCAATCACAGCATATTCTCAATAGAGCAGCTGAAGCAGTCGAGTTAAAATGTAAGTTGAGTGTACTGACTCTTCTGTTCAAGACCAGTGACAACTTCCCATCTTACTCAGAGTAAAAGCCAAAACCCTTACCGTGACCTAAAGAGTCCTACCTTCCAAGCTTGTACAGGCTGACTGACTTATTTGTTGTTGCTGTTGTTTCGCTGTGTTTTATTTTAGGCTTTTAGCATCTGAAGCTATGGTTTTTAGTTTCTGTCTCTAGTGATAAGCAGAAAAGAGGGATGAAGAAGGGGCTTTATTGGCCCAACCAGAAACAGAAACTAAGGACCCATGACTGTATTCTCTTCCTTGGACACCTTGGCTCCCCGCTGCCTCTGTCTTGCTGCTCCAGCTATCTCAGTTCTCCTGCTGCTCCCTGAACACCCTACCCAATGCACACCTTAGGACCTTTGCACAGGTTGCTTTCTCCCCTCCTTGGAATCCTCTTCCCACATATAGCCTCAGGGAGCATCCCCTTACTTCTTGCAGGTCTTTTCTTTCCATTTTTAAAAAATTTTCCCTTGTTTACATCTTTCCTATCCCTGGTTATCTTACCTAAAATTTTAACCTATCTCTATAATATTTTACATCTCCCTCTTTTTATTTTTACTCTCATATTTATCAGTATTTATCACTACAGTAAATATTACTCTATCTAACATATTATAGACATACTGACTTGTTTTGTTTTGCTTAGTGTCTACTGATCCCACTAGAATATACTTCTATAAGGGCAAGGATTTTTTTTTTTTTTGTCTTTTTTTTTCCCCCACAGCTCTATCTCTAGTACCTAGAATGATGCCTGGCACGGAGCAGGTTCTCAATCAATGTCTGTTGAATGAACAAATGAATACTACTTCCTATTCACATGGAGTTCCCCTAACCAAGCCAGTAAAAACCTATGACTGGTGTTTATAGAAACTGAAATTCCTTTCACTTTTAAATCACTCAGATATCCTGAAGAATATACTTCAACTCCTTTTTTCTTAACTTCATGGTGGAGAAGATATCTTTGTATGATATATATTATTATTATAGGTTCCATAGTCTGGAATTTCTAGTATTGTGATACTGGGGAAGGGAGCTATCCATAATCAAACTTGGCAAATGATATATAGACTTGAAGTACTATATTTCATAAGAAGCATAAAATTCATCTAAAGTAAAAAAGTAATCCAGGGAAAACACATTAGAACTAGATTTTAGAACTTACTTGGAGATTCATTATTTTCACAGGTTTCCTCTTCATGTGGTGCTGTTGCTTCTTCCTCCTCTTCTTCTGGGTCATCAGTATCTCCTGACTCATCGCTGTCTTCCACCCATTTTCCTGGCATTAGTCCTGCTGAATCATAGGAGTTGCACAGAGGCCCCACAATGTGAGAGATGAAGGATTCCTGAAGATTGGCCAGCTGAGGAGCAGAACGATCCATGAAGGGGCTTATGGGTAACCCAAGGCTGGCCTCTTCATCACCCTAGAAATACAATACAAGTCAAGTCAACATTCACTTGGCATCTGAAATTTGTAAATAAGCAAAACCCCAGACATTAACGCACACATGACTTTACTTGACAGCTAAAGGATCCTACCTCAATCGCTAGGATTCCTATAGAAAGACTTTGCTGCTAATTAATACTTTTGTGATCTTGAGGTTTTTGCTTTTTATCAAGGAGAAATACAGAAAGTCTAAAGTCTAATGTATCAGTAGATAATATTTTTATCACACAAGTCAGTGTCTTTTATATGAGAATATAAATGCATTAAAATGTAATGGTGAGGCCAGGCACGGTGGCTCATGCCTGTAACCCCAGCACTTTGGGAGGCAGAGGTGGGCAAGTTATGAGGTCAGGAGTTCAAGACCTGACTGGCCAATATGGTGAAACCCCATCTCTACTAAAAATACAAAAAATTAGCTGGGCATAGTGGCAGACACCTATAGTCCCAGCTACTCTGAAGGCTGAGGCAGGAGAATTGCTTGAACCCAGGAGGTGGAGGTTACAGTGAGCCAAGACTGTGTCACTGCACTCCAGCTGGGTGACAGAGTGAGACTCCATCAAAAAAAAAAAAAAAAAAAAAAAAAAAAAAGCAATGGTGAGAATAATTATTAAAAATATATAAATGTAGCCTATATTCATTTTTTGCCTTGGCTGCCAGAAAGCTGAAAAGAATTTATTGCTCAATTCAAGGGGTTACCTTATCCCAGATTTTGTTTGAATTATTAATATATCTTCTGTGATTGTGTGGTTTCTGATATTCTTATTTATCTAAACATTTAATAATATTACTGTATAAATGTTTTATTTGGAAGTGCTTCAAATCTTTCTGAGGGGGAAAAAAAGGAGATTTTTAGCCAGAGGTTACCTAGCAAAATTAATAAAGGAAATATCCCAAAATATGAGCAACAATTATGCCTAAGAAGTGGTATTACAATACGTGAACTTTCCCTTTACTTTACATTTTTCTGCATTTCCATATTTCAGGAATGATTATTAATAAATCCCTTTCTTAAGAAAGGCAATACATTATTTTTTAAAAGCACAAACCTTTCATTCTGCATATGAATCCTACTTATAATAATTATAAAATTTCATTCTAATCTCTGTTTAAATATGTCCAGTGACAGACAATTTATTACGATTAATAAGATGTCTCAGCCTTTCTATTTTTGGACTAAGTTTTTTTCTGACATTGACCTGAACTCTACTTCCCAATAACTTCTATAGACTGGTTATAGTCACACCTTTTTTTTAGGGCAGTAGAGAGGGATCTAACTTCTTTTTATGAATCAGATCCTGTGCTAAGTATGTTATATAATTTATCTTCTTTAATCTCCACAGCAATGTTATGATTAACCTATTTCTAAATTAGTATGTCACTCCTTTAAATATCAGAAGACAGTTATATTTCCCCCAGAGAAAATATCTTCATTTTCTTCATGTGCTTTTCTGCCACTTATTTTTGTCCTTTATGCATGCTTCTTCACCTCCACATTCTTTTTACAAACAGTGGTTCATGGTACCAGACAGGAAGGTTCAGGTGCAATCTGACTGGTGTAGGGTAATGTCAGGAGGATCACTCCTGGCTTGTGTAATTGTGGTAGCTTTTTTAGTAGTCTGCTAACTCTCACATTATCATGTCAAATGAAATGCCTATTTCTTTTTAGCTTTTTCATATACTATTGTTATTAATTTTTCTTACAAAAGTAAACTTAATCTGATATGCATATATATTTGAACTACCATATACATATAAACTATTCCATATATATTTAAACTACCTTCCATGATAATAAATAAATTTTTTAGGAAGGTAAGTCAACTTAATGTGATATGCATATACATTTAAACTACCATATACATATAAACTACACCATATACATTTAAACTACCTCTGTGATAATAAATAAATCTATAAAAGAACAGTATTTCAAGGATCTTCCTAACGTCTGACAGCTCTCTCAATATTTTCTTCCCCCCAAATGCTTGCAAATAACTTTATCATAGAGGGTTAGATTATATTTTAGTCAAATTTTTACACATCACTTTTTATCTCCTGATCAAAATTGACAATGCATTTTCTGATCAAAGTGTGAATATAAAATAGAGGGATCACACTTTCACAGCCATTAGAGGCTTTGAGCAATTCATGAGCAACCTGTAAGTATAGACTGAGATATATGAAACAGTTGTCAGTTACCTGTTCATAAAATTCATTGACAATACCATCTGTCCATTGAAGATGAAGTTCTTTACATTTAGCTGGACCATTGATATCAGCCAACTTTATACACATTTGACAAACCAGTAGACGATCATTTTCATTGGTCCAGTCTATTCCAACATCATCATTAACCTAGTTGAGACAAAGTTAAAATATGTTTTGCTTCAATAAAAACAAAAGTGGAACAGAAGAGAAAACAAAAGAACATTTATTGTCTTCATATTATATAGGGATCATAATACCAAATAATTGGGAACTTCTAGCTATTTTTTAATGTTACTGGCCTATGTAAATTAATGGTAACAATAGTTCATCAGAAAAGTAAAATAATCAATTATGGATAAAGTAATAATTATGGGTGACAGGGTGAGTATAGACAAAAATAATTTAATCATACATTTTAAAATAACTAAAAGAACATAAATGTATTGTTTATAACACAATGAATAAATGTTTGAGGTGACAGATACCACACTAACTCTGTTATGACTATTATGCATTACATGAATTTATTAATGTAACCCATAAATAGAAACACTATGTACCTACAAAAATAAAAATTTTAAAAATCATTAATTATCATATTAGCAACAAATGCTTTTTAAAATTGGCATATATAATCAATTACTTTTGTTTTTTATTTTTTCGAGATAGAGTCTCACTTTGTCTCTCAGGCTGGAGGGCCATGGTGCAGTCTTGGCTCACTGCAACTTGCATCTCCTGAGTTCAAACAATCTTCCTGCCTCAGCTCCCCAAGTAGGTGGGACTACAGGTGTGTGCCACCACACCTGGCTAATTTTTGTATTTTTAGTAGAGATGAGGCTTGCCATCTTAGCCAGATTGGTCTTGAACTTCTGGCCTCAAGTGTTCCACTTACCTCAGCCTCCCAAAGGGTTGGGATTATAGGCCTGAGCCATTGCACTGGGCATTATTATCGATTGCTATTAAAATAATACAGTTACAAATCATAAAAATTTTTATAACTTAATATTTGGGCATTCACTTTTGACATATAAAATTTTGCTTCAACTTTTGATCTTTACTGCTGCCAGATAATTTATATAAATATGCCATAGAGATGAGAAAAAATGAAATCAAAACCACAATGACAGAATGTGTTATTCCTCTGTAGCACAAAACATAATCTATAAAGACAGGATCTTAACTTCTTGGGCATCTAGAATCAGATCAATATGTATATGTGCGCTTCTGGTTAAACATTTTATTGCATTCCATTTTCACATTTGACATATGAGAGTTGATAGTAACATGTTTTGTTCAACAGTTTGCTTCCATGATATCTTTCAATGCATCTATAAAATGAAGACTGGTACAACTCTACTTACCTTGCTATTAAATTTGGCTACAAAGTCAAAGTGTTTCTTCAGGTCAGTGGCCAAAATTGCTTCAATGACAAGGAAACGGAAATGCTTAAATTCCACATGGTCAAGGTTAACTAAGAAGTTATACTCTGGCCGAGACATGAAAAGATTCCATGCAGCAGCTGCGTGATGATTCTCCAAAACTGAACGATCGTTATATAGCACCGCCTAGGCAAATAAGAGAGTTAAGAGTTCAACTTTTTAAGAAAATAATCACAAAAATGATGAGAATATGCAATGCTTCTGAAATTGCTTTTTATTCGTACAAAGAAGAAATGTAATCATGTGACTCCTGCTTATCAAGAATCAATTACTATATAATGACTCTATTATTTTTCTTGATTAAATTTCCCTTTTTTATAAGATAAATTCCTTTCCTTGAAACTTTAGCGGAAACTCTTGTGAGGGGGCACTAGCCTATCTTAATAGATACTTTAAAAAGTTTTCTTCTTTAGATTTCTTTGTAGGGTACAGGAATTTAAATATCAAAAAGATATACACATAGAAAAGGAGGAAGGAAGACAAAAAACTTACATTTACATATATATGTAAATATAATTATACCAATACCTCAAGAGGTAACTAGGTTACGTTCTGTATCTGGCATAAGCATTACCTCCTCTTAAACACATATAGCTATTAAAAATAAATAGAATCCCCAAAGTGCCCATGATTCAAAACATTCCCACTCCACTCCATAGGAAATATCACATTTTATCTAGTATTTGAAGATAAAAAATGACATTTACTTGTTTGAAATTCTCTAATAATGCAGAGAGAAGTTTTATTAGAGAATGTTTTTTTAAAAAAGAAACTGCCTACAAAATGCCTAAACATTAATTTGCAAGAGAGCCTATGGAGAAAATAAAAGACCTAAGGACAAAAAGAAAACACTAAGCACTGAATATTAATATTGAGGTATATAAAAATGTGGACATGTAGAAAAATCTGAATGGCAAATTATCCTGGCCAGTGGATTTTTGCCTATCTTTAAAAAAAATAATTCTGGTGTATGAAAGACAAGTGGAAAAAAGGTAGATAATCAAGAAAAAATTATCAGATAATTTTTATTGTATATAGATCCAAGGAAAACTATAGAACAGACCATAAGATCAGCTGTGGAAAGGGATACCAGTGGGACAGAAGAGGCAATGAAGAAAACAGAAAAGTAATATAGAATGAAATTGGCCTCTAGATCTTGTAGAAGAACAGAGGATCTCAGAATGTTTAGTAACTTGGGTTCAGCCAATTAAGTAAATAAGGGGCTATATTTGATTGTATAAATGGGCATGTCGAGATACTTAGTGATGAATTTTTTACTTAGATTTAATTATACACCAAGATGAAATTTAAATTTATTCACTGCTTTTAGAATCTATGTTTAGGCAAAAAAAAATTTCCTCCAATGAAACGAATTGATGTTAAAATTCTACCATCCTGTAGATATGTCACAAGAATCATAATTGTTATAATGAATATATTTCAAAGGAATGATCTTTATATACAAAGAAGCCTTACATTCTTAGAAGTCCAAGAAATACTGGGTTATCTAATCTTTTCAGAAAGGGGCTTTTGTATAGGTTGCCTTTTGTTTGTTGAAGGGGTCCATTAACATGAATTCAAATAGATTTTCTTCCTAAGAAGACAACTGAGAAATGATTTCCATGGATAATGAAGTTGTATACCTGCCATTAGTATCTTGGAAGAATCCATGGTTTCTTTTCAGAATGAAAAATTCATGGTTTTAGCATGGTCTCTGAGAATTTTCAGGTAAGGCTATAAATAGTTTGGCTTATATTAACTTGATGCCTATTATAAATCACACTTCACTTTCTTGAGAAATCTTTAAATTATTCCTCCTAACCAAAATCTAAAGATTTACCTGAGGAGCACTAGTTGCAACCAGGAAAGCATTAGTCCTTCCTGGGTGATCATAATCATGCATGGCTGCAGCCACATACAGTGCCATCAACTCTAAGGCAGGGATATTCCCAGACAGACATCCGTATTTATCATCTGTCACATTATATGTTTTTGAGAATACATATCCCATATGTCCATGTGTAAATCCACTGTCAGAATCTGAGAAGAGAAAATGAGAGTCACAGAAATCTTTTTTAAAAGTATTAAACTGACATCATTTGTCTTCACTTACTTTTTTTTTGAAAAAACACCCTTGTTCCCATCTCTCACAAGGGAGTACAGATACACTTCGTACATACCTGAATCACTGGTTGAACCATGATCATTAATCACAGTTGAGAGGCCTGGAATAGGTTGTGTAGTAAGATACCAAACAGCATGTAAAACATCAGTGGCATGGATTCTGTTATGATCTGTAATCAGTGAACACAAGTCATCAATTTACGAACTCTGGGGTCCAAGAACTAAGAGTGCCATCTACTGGACAAACAGTTTAGTCCTAACATTTTACTATTTCCATGAAAGCCAAACTTTCTAGGACAAATATTCTTTGATTACTCTTCTATAACTCTATAATATCCATAGTAACAAGAAAAAAAAAACCTACTTGTAACATTTGTTATGCATGCAAATACCTGAAGTATAAACATCTGCATCAATAGTCGACCACAAACTATGTATATAGGAAACTCACTGTGTGAAACAACTGTAATGTTTACTTTTGTAATTATTTTCATGCTCCTGCATAAAACTGCAGAGAACCAGAATAAAAGTAATAGCTATGGTACACTTCAACTAGATCAGACATAATATTCCATCTCCGATAAATGGTACTCAAATATAATCTGAGAATAGAACATAATACCATTTTTCTGTATCAATCTTAAAGCACTGCAATAAAATATCTTTTATATGTAGATTATATCCACAAGCAAAATGCAAAGCCGCAAGTATATTCTCTGATCTAGAAATTCTAATTAGAGAATATAGTTCTAAGAAATACCTAAAAAGAAAAAGAAAAACCTCTTTGTATATAATGTTGAAAGCTATGCCATTTAGAAGAGTTAAAACGTATGAGAAAACCAGATTTACTAATCATATTGCCATCATCATGGGAAGGGGGTCATACTCTACATGTGCAGTTCAACTTCCTTCAAACCATAACCACGTGCCCAGGGTGCCCTTGCCGTCTTTTTCTGTGCAGTTCTTCCAAGTCTTTTGTTTGTTTATCAGACCTCTCATAATACTTCACTGATTAGTACGCTTTATTCTAAATATACTAACTTTACATATTACATTTCTGCTAACCAACCATGATACTGTTTCCTTCTCTAGTATAATAGATTACATTTCTGCATAATACTTAACACAAGAAGAAGGGAGAAACAGGAGAGAAAAAGAATGACAATAAGAATATGAAAGAAACACCTATACCCTAGTTAAGGAAGGAAGAAGAAACCTATGGTCAATGCAGCAATTATAGCACCCAGGTAGGTGCTAAATTTCTGGCAGCTGTTACGAATCAGTCTTTATGTGATAATATGTAGCTAAATCTTAGGTAAACACCCTAGAAATTCAGTGGAGAGGCCTGGATGTAGGTTTGAAAAGATTTCATCAGAAAAGCTTAAAGAAACTCAACTCCGGCCAGGCAGGGTGGTTCATGCCTATAATTCCAGCACTTTGGGACGCCAAAGTGGGTGGATCATTTGAAGTCAGGTGTTCCAGACCAGCCTGGCCAACATGGTGAAACTCTGTCTCTACTAAAAATACTAAAATTAGCTGGGTGTGGTGGCAGGTGCCTGTAGTACCGGCTACTTGGGAGGCTGAGGCAGGAGAATCACGTAAACCCGGGAGGTGGAGGTTACAGTAAGCTGAGATTGCACCACTGCACTCCAGCCTGGGTGACAGAGTGAGACTCTGTCTCAAAATAATAATAATAGTAAATTAAAAAAATAAAAAGAAAGAAAGAAACTCAACTCCTAGCTTCCTGAGGAGAAAATGGCAAAACTTGTATACCTGTGTCTGTTGTAAATATGAATACTAATATTGTATGGTACTTCAAAGAGCAATTTTATTAAGACTGGCATCTATATCCCTGAGTATAGACCATATCCAGTGATATAAGACCATTACCATTTACAAATAATTCACAGGCAACACAATTACAATTATATTTTATGTCTGTACTTGGGCTATTTATGAAATTGATCATACTAGAATTTTCTGGATTTGAGACAGGCATGTTTTCACTTCTGCTGTATTTATTATCCATGCAAACTTGATTGAGTTACTTAAAATTCATTTCCTTATCTTAAAAATAAGATAGAGTAAAAAGCCTCATTTCTTTATCTTAAAAATATGAAAATAATACTGCCAACTTTATAGTACAATTGTGACAATTACAGAAGGAAATCTATTTTAAAGGGCCTGATACACAGTGAGCTTGCAATTTGTGTAAATATTACTCATGTAAAATAAACTGTTACTGTAGAACAAGTTAAAACTAGTATAGATCACCAGCTTTCTCCAAGAATCACTGCTGGATTTGTAAGAATAAAATAAAATCTCTTCTACACCTATCAGGAGGCAGAAGACAGAAATGAGACCTGGTATGGCAGGAAAATGGCAGTCTGGAAATAAGGTTCCACTTTTGGGAAATAAGTTGGAAGCCAGCTTTTGAGTTAAATTACCTTCTCCTGTTGCAAGCTGGGAAAATTACTATATGCCAGTAGTTACTATTATTATTGAAAGTCAGAGAAACCTGTGCATGAGCAGAGCATTGCAGAGGTGGATGGCGGGGCAGTATCATAGTGTTTCCAGAGCCTGTTTGGGGTAAGGAAATGATAACATCTATTCCAGGTGAACTTGTAGCTTTTGAGCTCTAATCATCACTGCTCTGACCCCACCCCAAGGCCTAGGCCCAGAAAATTTTATAGGTAATATTTTTTGTTTTTGTTTTACAAACTTTCAACAAGCAAGCAATCCTAAGTAAATAATCTAGTGCTGAAAACATAAGACGAAAAGCTGCAATGAGGATGGTACAATCTTGATTTAAAAGCTAGGTAAAACCAGTATATATATATTTTAAAATGTTCCTTTTGCTTTTGAGTATAGATAAAAGTACTAAATTAAGAGTATAGATTTAAAAGTACTAAATTAAAAAATTGCTAACCAAATCTAGCTGCTTAAATATATACATCTAGTTATATGTCTGTATGTCTAGGAGAGTAACACTGTCATCAATCACTTAGATTGAAGAATAGAAAACCATCTGTCCTGTTAGCAGTCAATAACATGTTTATTAATCAAATAGTCACTTAGCATGTATTTAGTATTATGCCAAGTGCTGGCATCTCCACTGTTCTTGCCATTAACTCTCTGGTAACTCAACCCAGGAACAAAGACACCCAGGAAAGAAGCCAGCAAGGTCAATGTAAGTTACTGGCAGGTTTCTATGTGATACATTAAAATGCTTAAAGATTCCTGTTCTTGTTCTGGCCAGGGTAAGCAACTGAGAAGGATAAGAAATGCTATCAGAGCTATCATTATTTTATCCTTATTATCATCACACCTCTTCCTTCATCTCTGCATTTTGGACAAACCCCTGGTCTTCTCAATGATGCCCTCACTCACGTGTCAACCCCATCGCCCTCTTTAATGACATAGACACACATGCATATACTAGCACATGGTACACCCTACCTCTTTCCCAGAGTCCGCCCATCTCCCTCTTCCGTCTTGATACACTTGTTTTCTCAACTTTCTCCTTTTCCCTCAAGCACAGAGTTGAAGTGAGCTGGTATGGAGGGTTGGAGTTGTATGTAAATTCACAGATTTTAAGATCCAAATTTATATAGTTTTGATTTAAAATTATGTCTATACTCCTATGCACCATAGGGTGAGGGGAAGTAGTAAAGAATAAAGGTAACACTTTAAATATGTTTTTTCTTTTGGAAAATAGTTAATACTCTGGTAGTTCTGCCCGTGTAGCTTGCACCATGTCACTTCAGTTTCCAGCTTTAGAATCAGTGGGAACATCATGTACAGCTTAATTAAACTGGACTAAATACAGGTTGAGCAGGACTATTCTCCTTGCTGTCATGAAATAGCGACATGATCACAGGTAGTTCTGAGGCATTCTCCCCATTTCTCAAACTTAAATAAGGATGAGAGGTGTTAGGGAGACTATACTTTAGAGCTGAAACTCTTTGAAAATAAAAAAAAAAAAACTACCCTAAAAAATAACAGCATCAATAAATGAATATGAATGGATTTTTCTTTATTAAGCAAAATGCCCAACTGAAAAGGACTATGAATGACACCAAACATTATTTATGTCCCTATGCAATTGGGTACTGACCATACATTAATTTATCATAAGTTTGATTGAAACTTATGATATATTTGATATATTTTTATCACATTTACATTATTGAGTTGCCTATATTTATTGTCTTTCCATTGCTACTACCATAAAATTTCTTTCTTTTATTCTCTGTTTAAATCTAGATTCTTCAATTTTTATCAGGATTCTAATTACACATTTAAAAGCTTTCCTACATACCCTCTTCTCTTGAAAACTGTTAGAGGTACACTTAGAACAATAATAAGAAATTTAGTTTTTAATATTTGCACACATTATCATATTAAAGTTAATCCAACCCCATTTTAACTTCAGTTCCTTTTAGGCTTCATTTCAACTCTGGATTCATTTAGATAGAATCATTAGAAATATATCCAAAGTAAATATTAAAATAAGTAGGTACACAGCAAATTTTTATATGTACTAATTATAATTAATGTTAAGTGAAGCTTTTAATAAATATTCATATTAATCTCAGCACATATGAAATATTCATTAAAAGTGATCACAAATGAAGCTAGAGCTTTCCTATGGAAAGATGTAAATAAATTCCCTTTATGGAAAGTATCTAGGACTTCTAATAGAACAAGAAAATTTATTATAACAAATTATTTTCACCTGGAATAAAGAACCCACAATTTCAGAGAAAAAAAAATAGCTATTTACTTGTAATATATAAAAATGTAATAAAATATAAAAGTAAATCTTAGAATCTGAAAACTTATTTTTGTACTTAAATACTTGTAATCTTTCAACTATGATTCAATGATACACTACCTGTGAAAAAGTTGGTAGTTATTATGTGCATGGAGGTTAGTATCAATTTGAACTCAGTGGAACTTTGCTGTGGCTAATTATATCATTAAAATACATTTGAAAATATAACATGAATTTGGAAATTCAGTCTAGTGACTAGCTGTTCTTTAGCGTTCTTTGTGGCTTCCTTTCTACAAAAGCTTATTTATGTAACTCTTTAGCCTTTGAGAAATCATGAACACTTAGGTCAATCACTGGCATTCAACTAGGGTGGGCCCTGGGAAAACTATTAAGAACACAAGGCTTATCTTGAGATCTTTTCCAACTACCCCTTTTTTCATATTTCTCTTCCAACTTCCATGGATTTGTCAGCCAGATGTTCCCAGGGGCCCTGATACTGTTAAGCTCTCTTTCCTCTACTCCAACTGTCTTACTCTGCCTGTATTTTGGTCCTGTATTCCTCAGAAAATCTCATTTGTAAATTCAGTTCTTCCTTCTCTTCTTCTATGATACACTATCAGCTGTGTATATTCATTCCAATGTAGCATGTGGATGGGATTTTGAAAACAACATGCTCATAATAAATCCCTAGGTTAATGTGATACCCCTTTCTGGAAATAATTGTGCTTTATCAGTATTAATTTATTTTTTTTTAATTTAACTTCAGCTCTTTACAATTACATAAAAGATTACAGGGTTCTTAAGTCTGAAGTGCATAAAATCAACTTTAAAATTAAAAGCTTAAATATGATTTAAATAACATGTTTCCATGACATGCTCCAATCAATATATTATGTTTGATTAATTTTCTTTCCACATATTTATTTCCTTGATGTGCTACATGACTTTTTAATATCTCCACAATTTCCTTGTTTGGACCTTTAGACATTGTCTCCCAAACCATGTATTTTGTAGCATTGTAGGACCATTTTACTTATGTGTTTGGATCGATGATACCTGAAATGCTACATAATGAAAACTTAATTTCTTCTGTGTGTTTCAATTTTTTGTTAATGTAAATGTGAAACTTATTCTTGCAAGACTCAAAGCTTGAACACTTGATTGTGTGTTCTCCTTTTGTCTTCCCATATACCTGATTTTTTAAAACGTTTCTCATCATTTTTTCCATAACCACTTCCAGATGTCTCTTTTCTATTTTATTAACCAGAACATCATCCTCCTGACCCTCTAAACACCAGCCCACTTTATCTTATGTTGAGAAAACATATATAGTAACTTAACTCTTCAGATGCCACAACAAAAGTTGAATTCACCCAATAAAAGGGATGAGTTATTAAATGAGCAATACATTTAATATTTATTTATTTCAAAAAATAGCCATATTAAAGTAGACTTAAGTTGGATTTACTGTGTGCTAGGTACTACAATAACCTCTTTAAAAATATAATCTTATTTGATCCTAACAATCATATGAAGCCGGTATTATAATTCTTATTTTATGAACTAAGAAATGAGGCATCTAGAGGTTAAGTAAAACATAAGGTCTCATTCAGCTAAAAGGCAAAGGAGCCAGGCAATATTTCCTAATCATCATATAATGTCTCCATAGTGAGTGTTTACCCTGTGTAATTCTGTGCTACCTGCTAATGATTCACTATCTCATTTACCCACAGCAAATTCAACATATTTTAAAAGTATTTTACAAATCACATATACTTACAAGGAATATCCCTGTATCCAATCTCCAAAGCATGAAAATAATTCATAAATTCCCTAATTGGAATTTTAAAAGCTTCAAAGAGGCCCATGTCTTCAAAAAGTCTGTAAGACACCTGTAAAAGAAAAGACAAAGCCTTATGAAACATCCCTAATTGTATGTCAGACATAAAGAGAACAATTCTGAAACTAAGTAAACACTGGCAACTGAAAAGACTAAACGCCTTTTCAAAATCTGAAGGATGTCCTTTTAAATTGGTTAAAATAAAAATGATAATCATCAAAAGGCAGGCTGTATATTGAAACTGATAACTCATTTCCATTGCACGTGTCTCTTTAAAAGTCTGTTGAAATGAGACTTTTTCCATTTAGTCTCAGCCAAAAGGTGATTTCTTGGAATGTTCACATTAATTCATTTCAGCTGTCCTAAAGTCTCACTGTGGCAAAAAATATTTACATATTTTCCATAATCAAAATTTCATGATTTTTGTTCTTGTAAACTCAAATAAAAGGAACAATCCCCAAAAGTTCTACTTAGCAAGTCATATGAAGCTGCATTTTTTCAAAATTTAATGTCTAGCAAATTGGAAAAGTAAGAGGTAACTAATAAGGATCATATATCAATATATTACTCTATTTTTGGGACATGATTGGAACAAAAGATACATTATTGAACTTTGCAGGAATCTAATTGTTAATTAATCTTTTTAATGTCTACTGGTATCCATGAGTCTTAGAAAACATTTTGTGGCATTTTTGGTCCAGTTTTTTCTCCTATTCCCAGCTCACAGAACTTTAAAAGAGTGGTTGATACCTGCAATGAAAGTGTGTACACTGTCATTTGTGCTGTAAAACTGACTGCTATCATAACCACTTTTCTACTAGGTCCGAATTCTCATGTGGAGAATGTGAAGACGCAATAACTCAAGGTGTTTTATGAAAATCTGAGAAGCTTTTGAATGAATGTAAAAAGCCTGGGCTTCTGATATGGATAAATCTACTTTTGAATCCTGGGTTGAATATTTAATATATGACTTTAGAAGAGTAGCATATTCTCTTTTTAAGCCTTAGTTTCTTCTTCTGTAAACTAATATTTTAAAAACCCTGCACTAAAGTCACTGTGAAGATTAAGTTTTCGAGACTCTGTGAAACATACATCAAATATAAAACAAAATGAGCTATGTCTCTCCATACCAGGGAACACACTCCCTAGTAAAAAAAACATAAATAAATAAATAAATAAAGAGACGGGGGGGAGGGGAATGCTTCCTGGCCAATTGCCACATCTTGTGGTACCATTACAGGCTTATTTCCAGGAAAGACCACTCCCTCAAAGTTGCAGTTTATCATGAGTTTCAGAAAAAGATAACACAATCTCCCAGGGGGTTCCCTAAGGTATGAGGCAAAGGTGAATTGGACAGAACAGCTAACCTTAAATCTGTCCTTAAGGTGAACTAGTATAAGAGACATTGCTTAGCACTGAGAATAAAGGAAAGGAAGAAGAAAAGGACTCTCAACTCCTAGTAAAGTGCAAGGGCTGCCATTATATTCCTCTACTTGGTCATGGACAGAATAGAGTCTAGCAGAGGCAATAACTGAATACTAAACAGACTTTGTAAGAATTTTGTGCCTCATATTCTATCAATAATCCTAGTGTACCCCTAGACTAGACAGCCATATGTGCTTGCAGAATTAAACACTAAAAGAAACAGCTGTTATCTTTTCCTTTCAGTCTTCACAGATCAGGATCCTCACCCCAAAGTTCCACATTCAGACACATGTTGAGTGATCCAAAGAAAGCTCATCTCGGATGCACTGCATAGCAATCAGCATTTCTGTGATTTCTCTTCTAGTGTTTTGCTGAGAAGTGTTAGTGGCGCCAATAAATCTGGGTTGGGTCCTGAATTCTTTCCTAAGTCTTATATTCACAGGTTTGGTGGTCCTTACTATCTCTGCTCTGATATTTATTCAAATTTATAAGAATACACCTAAAACGTGAAGATAAGCTGATACGTATTATCACACCATTCTCCTTGTTTAATTAAGGGTGTGTATTTTGACAGGTATTCCATAGTACAGCAAATCCATCACTTTGTTTTGTGGTTTAAAACAAAATATTTTCAAATTCTTAATTTTTATATGTTGTCTTTCTTCTTCAGCAAAACAAATAATTACCTATGTGAAAAGCCTTGAAAGTAGTTTAGCCTAAAGAAAACAATGCTTAAAGGCTGGTTAGGCAGCAACAGTATTATTCTTAATTTCTTGTCATAAATAAAGGAGTTTGTGATTTTCAAATACAGAGAACTCTATTTGATGTGTTTCTCAAAGCAGCAGGAGGAAACACATTTTGGCACATCTTATCTTTGATAAGGTTTAATATTATAAGCTCCATAATACTCCAAAGTTTTAAAAATGTCATTGAAAATTATTTCAGACAATAACTTAGTATTTCTAAACAGGCGGTTTTCTTCTTTTAGGGGCTAGTGTCAGATTTTCTCTTGCTTAATTCTATGAATCCTAGATGATTTGTCCCTTGTGTATATAACTCTATCCCCTCCTACTCTGTCTTAAAAAATATATAGTATTTTAATTGCAGAATATGACATTCAACTCACTTGAGGTTCTAGTTTCTTTGGTTAACCCACCACCAAGAAATCTACAGAATGTTGTGTTTTACAACTTCCTTTCTCTACACAACACCTATCCACAAGTGTCAAGAATTTACAGAGCTTTAAGTAACCAAGGAATTGTTTTTCCTATGTTTAAATTAGTATGAATGAATGCATTTCTTACCTGACTAAGAATACGGCCACATTTTCTTCCTATATTTTCCACTAAATCAAAAATTGGAAAATTCCAAGCATTTAGCTGCTCCATAATTGAGTCCAGGTTATCCATGACAAGAGGTTCGGGAGCAAGAATTGGTTTGTCCTGTAATGTTTAAGATTAAAATACTTAAACAGCATGTACTTTTTCTACAGGGAAATTTGTGCTTTGCTAAATTCAATAAATACTGTGGCTATTGGAAATAAATGACTTAAAACTCCAAGGTGAATGAGTGATCTTTACCAAAAAAAGGTCAAGATGAATAAGACATTGACCCCAAAGTAAGGAGGAAAGGAACTAACGCTGTTTCAGATATGAATTTTGCACTATTAAGTGCTTGCCTATCACTGGTTCATATATACTCCAGCAAAAACATGGATGTTTCTTCTACAAGTTAGTATAATTGCTTTGGATCTACTGCAAGGTTCTTAAAGTTTTAAAGACATCAGAATATTCTGAAATTACATGTAAATTTATATCTCTACATAATTATGTAAATTTTTCTGAGATGAGGGCTCCTTCCTTAAACTCTCAAAAAAAAATCCATGAGTAGGAGGACTTAATCACTCTCATTATTATTTATATTAATGCTTCCAAATGGACATTAATCCTATAGAATAACAACTGCCACATTTTTCAGGGATTTTAATTTATTTCATGTGATCTACTGTTTCCTGAGAAACATGCACTAGGTAAATGTAAAGGCTTTTTATAACATGGTCCCAAATGAGGACACTCTTAAGAGTACATTTGCCAAAAAAAAAATTAAGAAGAAAAGAAAAAGATAATGAGGATAAGGAAACATATATATTATTTTACCTGACAATCTATCTGACTTAGAAATAAAACAGGAAACACAGTAAAAGAAAAATGATAATAGCAGCCACTGATGATCACTTGAGAGTCAACAATTTTCTACCATTTGCCACCTTTCTAAAATGAAGCTCACTCAAATGTATGCTTTCATCCTCCTTAAATGGATCTCTTTAAACACACAGAATGCGTCATCATTCAGGGATATTTTAATAGGTGGCTAGTGTCAATATACGCCTGACTTAATATAACAAGAAAAACACATATTGGTTCATTTTCTAAGTCAAGGAGGCAGAAAAAACCAGCAGATACCCTAAGACAATGAATATCTTTTTCCCCCCTTTCCTTCATCTTTCTTTCTTTCTAAAGTGTTGTTTTAATGAATGAAGTATTTTGTCCTATATTTACTTTTCAATTGGGTTAATAAATATCTGCAATCATTGTATAATTATAAATAAGCTATTAATCACCAGATAATAGAACCATTAAGAGACTGATAATGCTTGAAAAGAGAAAAAATATATTGATATGTATGGGAAGGGTTATAATACATGTGTAACCTGGATGAAATACATCTGTAAATATGTTTCAGAGATTCATTTCTTTTCTTCTTTTTTTTTGTTTTTTGAGATGGTGTCTCACTCTGTTGCCCACTATAGGGTGTAGTGGCATGATCTCAGCTCACTGCAACCTCCACCTCCCAGGCTCAAGTGATTTTTCTGCCTCATGCTCCCGAGTAGCTGGGATTACAGGTGCCTGCCACCACATCTGACTAAGTTTTTGTATTTTTAGTAGAAATGGGGTTTAACCATGTTGGCCAGCCTATTCTCAAACTCCTGACCTCAATAATCTGCCCGCCCCGGCCTCCCAAAGTGTTGGGATTACAGGCATAAGCCACCGTGCAAGGCCTCAAAGATTCACTTCTAAGCCAATATCTGTAACAGAAGCTGATTTCTCAAGTAAATGAGTGAGTTAAGTGATATAGGACTACCAGAAACATCATGGTGTCAGGAGCATAGGTGCTGCAAGCTGATGCTTTCCTCAGAGGCTCTCTCAGGCACTCTGTCTCATCTTCATTCTGTACAATGTCACTGCCGTCACTGTTGTTATTGGTTTCATAATCAGAGGTAACTTGAGCAGTGTCGTCTACAATTAAAAGAAAACAACTTATTACGAGATCTACAATGGGGAAAGGGGGCTCATTCAAGCAAACTTTGCTAAGATGCATATGGTAAATAAGTGTTTAGGGAAATACTGCTTTCATGAGCTTACAATCCAAGAATAGTAATATAATAATATATAATCCTGTATGATTATAGGGTGGAGAAAAGCACACATCTGTTAACAAAGTAAAACAGATGGAAATTATAATCTGTAATCTGCATGGCATTCAATAATTTCTCAATAATATTTTTAGAACAACAGTTCATACATTTAACAAATCCTATGACTTTGTTTCTTTTTTCTCTTTTTCTCTCCCTAAACATTAAACCACTGAGTAACTGACTATAACACTTACTGTAGAACGGGCATGCAAGGTGGAAGACATTGAGTTGACACACCCAGGAGTAAAGTGCTCTGTAGAGCAGAGTGATGGCATATGCTTAAGGGCAAGGGAAATCCTTCATATCCAATCCCATTTCTTAGAATCCTGTGGCTTCCTTCTTATCTGTCCCACTTCACAGTCGCCATTTCAGTCAGCAGTGAACTGTGCTAACTAAAAGACCAATCAGCAAACACCCAGAGTCTGAAGTCTATGTTCTCTGAGCTCCTATGCCGTTTCTCATAGCTCAGTAAGGTGCCCGAAGGAGGTTTATTGAGTGTTTGCTATGTTTTGGGAACCACTTAAGCACTTTCAATGTCAGAAGTAGCAAGATAAAATAACATTGCTATATAGTTCTATATATTATATAAAATCACCTCTTGTGTTTTAAAAATATACACATGTATAACTGTAGAAAAACGTTTTGGAAAGCTCTGCACCCAAGCTTTACCCATGGTTAACTCTAGAGAGTAGGATTATAGATGACTTTAGTTTTCTCCCTTGTCCTTTTCAATCTGTAATTTTAAAAATCAGGCTGGGCACAATGGCCCATGCCTGTAATCCTAGGAGTGGCTGAGGTGAAAGTATCACTTGAGCCCAGGAGTTTAAGACCAACCTGGACAACATTGTGAGACCCTGTCCCCCAGCGCCCCCCCCCCAAATCAGAAATGTAGGTCACTTTTGATCAGGAAAAAAACATAAAGCAATTTCCATTTTGGGCAACAGGATCCCAAACAATGAATTACCTGTTCTACTTGGTGTCCGAGTGGCCGCCTCACTTCTCTCCAGGGGCCCATCAGCAGGATTCCCTTGGGAATATGGTCTGCCACAGCTAAAAAATAGTGGAAGAGCTGTAGGTATATCCTGCTCTTTTCAAAAAGTCTCAGGCACATACTGTCTAAGTGTACATTAAGGTAAACAACAATAATAAAATATTTCTACCTTCTACTTATTTGTTTTGTAAAAATATTCACTTTGTTTGATACACAAATACTGATATGCAATATACTACTTTCTTTTTTGTGAGAGAGTAATAAATACAAAGGATTAGAAACTTCATCTGATTCTCATTCTCCTCCTCCTTTACCTAGATCATATTTAAGGTGAAAGGGATATAAAATTTTGTTAGATTATTTAGAGGATACTGGGATAGGCTGCTACCTACTTATAGTACCAATTTTGCAGGTGTTGACCTATATTGGACAACAGTATCTTCCCCAATAAAATACCTTGTGCCTGCTTAAAAGCCTCATTATGGGCCAGGCACGTTGGCTCATGCCTGTAATCCCAGCACTTTGGGAGGCTGAGGCAGGCAGATCACCTGAGGTCAGGAGTTCGAGACAAGCCTGGCCAACATCGTGAAATCCAGTCTCTACTAAAAATACAAAAATTAGCCAAGCGGGGTGGCGAACACTTGTAATCCCAGCTACTCGGGAGGCTGAGGCAGGAGACTCGCTTGAACCTGGGAATTGGAGGCTGTGGGGAGTGGAGATCACACCACTGCATTCCAGCCTGGGCAACAGAGTGAGAGGCCACCTCAAAAAAAGAAAGCCTCATTATTAGATTTATTTCTTTGGGTTATGATATTTTTATGTCTAAACAGACCTTTAAGAAAAGACAACATAGGTTGAAATAGAATGATAGTATATGAATTTTATGTTTTGCTACACAATAAAAATGGAATTTGTTTTCAGATTGATCAGTTACTTGTTAAGGCTTTAAGGAAATGAACAAAAGAGAGGTGCATTTTGAGGAAGAGCAAACGTATGACTGACTACACTGACTACATGGGATGCTGGTTGAGAGAAACAGGCCATAGAGGCACTGTGGACCACCAAGAAAAACAAAGGTAAGAGAGGTAAGCAATGCCCTCTAACAGAGGGTGCTGGAGAAATGAAGTTTGACTGTTTTAAAAATTAAACAGTAACCCCATACATGACCTAGCAGAGGCCATAAACTGGCTCTTCCCTCATCTATCTTGTTTAAAGACTTCATGATTAGATTTTGATTCTGCATTTTGCTGCTGGGTTCTTTCCATCTGACTAATATTACAAAGGGTCTCAGAGGATTTTTTTTGTTTGTTTTTTAACCACAGATTACCCACTCTAAAATGAAAAAAGTAGTGATAGCTTATTGTTTAATATCTTAAATACCTCATCATTTTTTCCTGAATTGTGCTTGTGTGTGCACTGAGAAGAGCATTTTCCAGGTAGATAGTATCTACATACTAAGTAACTTTACTTTTTAACCCTTAAGCATAAACAGAAAAACATTACATGTAAAATATTTCTAATTATTAAATCTGTCAGTATGGCTTAGAGAATAAAAAGAAAATGATAAGACAAAAAGGAAAAAGAAAGTAGATACAATTGGTAGGCTTACATTCTCAGAAGTAGAGTTTATTAGCCTTAAAATTTTTCATTGCAAAATAATACCTAAAAGGACCATTTAAATTAGAACTTCAAATATGCCAGCTCTCATGCCAAAGAAATAGGTTGTTGCACAGACCTTACAGCAGCCAAGAGACTGGGATTCAACGCCAAACTCTTCAAGTTCAGCAGGGGAAACCACAATAATTAGTTGTGTGTTTCTGAACCTCTCTGTGCCTACATGGGTGGCTGCCTTTAAGGCAATAATAAAACCTGGTTTGAATTATAGATTTATAAAGCCCAAAGAAATAAAACACACACTACTGGATTTATAAACATTACTGAACAAGTAGACAGTAAAATCCCCTTGTTTTTCTCTGAAACCTCTTTTATAAAAATCCCATTTTATT